AGAAAAATTTCAATAGATAAAGCTTTATATACTTTAAAGGTTTTTTTTACTGTATGATGAATCCGGAAATATTTATAAACCATTAAATTTTGATGCAAGATATACAAAATTTCATATCATATGTTCCAGAATAACTAGACTTCTATTTTTATTGTGAAATATACGCTTTAACATTTAACCTTATTATCAAATAAGCATCATATAAATACCAAAGTGAATTTACTTTTTAAAGAAATGCATTATATGGAATAGAATCTGGAAAAAAAATGTTATAAAAAGACAATTTTTATTGAATTCGACCATTTTGTACTCGCCTGACAAAAGTAGGTCGACAACTGTAGAAAAAAGTGTAGAAAAGTAGTTGATCACCTTTTGACTGTTTTTTATCCTTTGAAAATACAGGATGCTAGTTGGTAGTGAAAGAAATGAATTAGAATTTTGTTGAATCAGTTCTTACTCTATCTGATTTATTTCTCTGAGAGTATAAATTGAACTTTTGGTTTCTTTTTTCACCAGCATCCTGGTTATGTTAATGAAAGCTGGCTCCTTATTATCCTACCACAACGGAGGTGACCATTTGCCTTCTCTGCGTCGTGCGTCGTAAATGGCGTCAAACATTTTTCTACAATTATCATTTCCTTCTACACTAACTATATAATGTTGTTATAGCAGAGCAAGATTAATTCCTTGCACGAATCTCATTCACATAAAGGACTGAATTCCTAAAATGAACACCAAAAATGAGAAAATTGAAAATGTTGCAAGCACGGTTTGATTGAGCCTGTTAATGGATGGTACTGGAAAGTGCAGTTCTATCAGATTGGGGGTATACATAAAACCAAGGCTCGATATGGTTCACGTATATTTCTGCTTTATTTTACCAGTGGGTCCATTCAAATATTTACACACAGGTCTGTATACCACTGTATAAGACTGTACAATACCATATAATACTTTCTGGATCTTGTTTGTAAAACAAGTACCCTGACAAAACACTCCACTTCACTGTCAACTGTCACACTGTGAATAACTACTGTGCTCAATCCTATATCCAAACTATCAAATTTATATCAAATCTGTACAAACTAATATTAACCAACATACGATCATTTAACAACAACTCAACTGAACTTTAAACATGGCGTCTTTTCCCGCAATGCTATACCATGTGACCACAAGCAATTGAAACGCAAGTTCCGATTGGACGAGACAGACGAAAGAGCCAATCAACAATACGGAAAGTCCGTGGGAAATATTGATTACTGCTCACCTTTACGAACTTAAAATATTCACCACGTCGGATACAATTAAATGATTTAAAGGCCCATCATGTTTACAAAATGATAAATAATGAAAAGTTAAGAATTTAATAACTTGTTAAAATTCACATCTGCTACACTTTCCCTCACATCTGAAAATGATGTCTCATCATTTCGAAAAATGAATGAAAATATATTTATCATCTGAAACAAAGAAAATCTTTGTATGACAGTAAATATCACTTTGGACAAAGAACACACTTGAAAATCTCAATCAAAATATTCTTGTTTAAGTCATCAGCAAATGATTAAGTGCTGTATAAATGTAAATATGTGTACTTCTGCAGACATGTTCAAAATCAAACTTTAGTCTTATCCCCTGCTGTCAAAAATTGTGTCACACAATTTTCAATCCATAGTACTTGTGCTCTGAAAAAAATGAAAATAATAAGGTGACTTATAAGGGCCAGGTATCTTTGTATGTATTCTTATCATGCATGTGAATTGATATATGCACAAGGTCACTATAATTAAACTCACTCACTCACTCACCAACTCACCAACTCACTCACTCACTCACTCACTCACTCACTCACTCACTCACTCACTCACTCACTCACTTTTACATAGATATTTCATACAATGGTCCTTTATAATTATGTTACTTGCTTAGAAAGGAACTTTAGATGTAGGGACTGTGAATATCATGCATTTTTCCATTGTTGTATACAGACCCATGTTAGCAACTGACATATAATTATTACTATAACTGTATTACAACTATATATACATAACCATTTTATTCTTTGATATAACAAGTTTTGGCCGGAATGTTGAGTTGAGTTGGGGAGGCTATTTATTAAATAGTGTCCTTGTCGTGTGTGTGTGGGGTGGAGGGGGGTGTGAAATGTGCACTCAATAGGTTGCAGAAGGGGTATCTGTCCGGAATATACATTTTCTATTGTTAATTGTTGTGGTTGGAGAGCTGAAAAAAAAAACATAAAAAGACAACATTTTATAACATTTCGACAAAAAAGTTACTGTTATATAATGGATTATATATCTACGCACTTTATCTTTTTAATTAGCCAGATTTTGATCATATTCCTGTATTTTAGATTTAAAACCTGCCGAAGGGAACGTGCCGCTTTACATCATATTACTCAAATTTATAGCGACGATTAGTGGCGTACAACAAATGATATAGCTATGAACTTTAGAAAAAATACCTTTTCTGTTATCAATGTTAATAATAAAGGTGTATTGTTAAGAATGGCAAGTTTAAAATTTGTAGTATTATAGTTTCATATGTTGGCCATTTTCTGGATCCGTCCCTGTTTAGCTTCAGATCAACTATCCCAGCTAGAAACAAGATTGAACCAAAATTCATCTAACATTGTACATTGTAAACATTATAATTTTTGAAAACGCTGATTTTTTACGGTATAATTTTGAAGGTATATAACTGCTGCAAAATGTTCATAGGATGCTTCGTAAATACATGCATGAAATTAAATGTTTAATTATTTACACGAAAGCGAATGCCTGAAATAACGCCAAACTTCAAACACATCAACTATTTTGCAGATACATTAAGGATCACAAACCCATGTTGTTCAATATGTTGTTCAATATGTTGTTCTTTACAGTGTTCCGTTTGAACAATCGTGACTTTTTATTTCTCCTTACCCGCGATGCACGATGGTACGATGACACGATGACTAAAACACAACAGTACGATTATGAAAACACGAAAGTACCGTGGTACGATGGTGAAAACGTGATGTTATATTGCGTTTTCACCATCGTATCACTTCTTTTTCGCCATCGTACCATCACGCCATTGTGTTTATACAATCAATCCATTGCGTTTTCACCATCGTGCCATCGCGTTTTCACCATCGTACCATCGCGCTTTCACCATCGTACCATCGCCTTTCACGTTCGTCCCATCGCATTTTCACCATTGTGCCATCGCGTTTTCACCATGGAACGATGATGCGATGGAACGATGGTGAAAACGCGGAGGTACGATGGTGAAATCGCGATGGTACGATGGTGTAAACGCGATGTAACATCGCGTTTTCACCATGGTGATATCGCGTTATCGCACTTTCATCCATCGTACCATCGTGCATCGCGGGTACAGACTAAATAAAAAATCACGATTGTCCAAACGGAACACCGTAGTAGTGACAATGATAATATGACGATGGCAATGACAGCGATGATGATGATTATAGTTTATTTTGCTTTAGTCTGGCATCCGGAATTACAGTTTATTATACTGTCATGGTGTCTTTTTTTATAAACATCTATGGTACATACTTAGTGATAAATATCCAGTAAAGAATACACCACGCTCAGACCTTACTCGTACTAAAAGATACTACCATCAAAATGCTTTTTTGCAATACCACTGACATGCGATTGTGTCAAATTTAAAGTAATTTCAGCGCCAATTTTAATGTTAATAATGTTACATAATTGATACGCAACCTACTGAATCTTTTGGATGTACATTTATTACATCAAAAGTTTGTAGACTGCTCTTTTCATCTAACCTACCATAAATCAACGCACTTGATAATTACATTCAAACATTGAAACGTTTATTTAGTACCATATCAATCTAAAAGTGATAGAATGGTGAATAATGTTGATAGTAATAATGTAAATTTCTTTGTAAATTTTAAAAATATCAGATAAATTCATTTGTATTCTTTGACACATAAACAACCATTTCTTTCATAACTAGGTTCTGGTGGTCTTTTTTTGGGGACAAAATAAGAGAGTTAAGTCAATAGTTTAACCCATTGTTTATAATGACTCCTAACAATAACTAAATAAACTATTAAAGTATCACTAACATTAACAATGTGGCATTCAATTATTTGATTTAAGATAGTCAAACTATCCTTTTGTTTTAGTTTTAAACGAATCCCCTTTAAAGGTTTCAAATACAAAAATAATGTACCTCTAGACAAAAGCTTTTGCATATTATGAAATAAGCGTGCTTCCACGAAGTCATTGTGAGGGTCATTTTCTATAATTATGTCAAGTCTCGATCTTAAAGGGGAATGCGGCATTTTATCAATCAGAGTATAATTTTGAAAGAGAATATTAAATATTGTAGGTTCAACACAACATTTTTCAAGGAGCTGAATTAATTCATATTATGCGAGCCTCTAGTAAGCATATTCTTATTTTATTCATCTCGATTAATTAAAACAGTATTGAACCTACACGAATATAGTATTTTATTTATCATATACCTAGAACAAAGACCGCCGCTCAAAGTGCAAAATAATCATGTTCTAAGCATGGTTACAAATTGACAAATGATCAAATCTTACACAATATTTAAACTAAAATCTAGATATCGCAATTATAGATCTTAGATTTCCAAATGCATTAATTGCTTTACATAGCTAGAAACTTAATAGACAGAAATGATATAGAAATTAATACTTTTACATCTAGAAAAATGAAGTCATTCTTCTTACTCAAAGCTAATAATTATTACTTTATAGACAGGAAGATTTACAACTTTCTGTAAGAGTACATGTTAATGTTATTTTTGGACAACAACTACACGGAGGAGTCACTTTAAAAAAGGACATAAATACCCGATTCATGATTGATCTTCGGTTATTTACTTTGGCTATTCAATCCTAAATAACAAAAAGCGAGCAATAATCATACGCTTAAATGGACATAACTTTGTTGAGACAAGTACAATACTGAAGGTAGACTTAAAATTGTCGATTACCTACAAGGTAGTGCACCTACACGCAAAAATATTGTAACATTTTGGAGAGCAGGATCGGTCTGTTTGTACACCTTACTTTTGTCATCACATATTTGGACAGCGTGACTAATTTTGAATTTATATTAATAGATGCACTACAAGGATTTGTTAAATTCGCAATATTAGTCAATACACAGAAATGTTAAGACACAATAATGTCGTACCGTCGCATAACATAGTAGCAGACGAGCCTGTAACTGTCGGAGTTGGAGATGGAGCTCTAGAGCTCGAACCACCTGAAGAGGGCGCCACTATCGAAAACCCGCCAAATGGAGGACATCGAGCTTGGTTCATAGTTCTTTCCAGCGCTTTGATAAATGCGTTGCTAGGCATAATGGAGATGTTGAAAATCATCTCTATTTTTAACGACAAAATGTCGTCTGATACCGGAATTGACACACATACACAAGCAGAAATACTTTTACAGTTCATGGCACTTGTTAATCTGTATGGTAAGTTTGCATTTGGAATGTTTACATGTATTTGATAATCATTTGAATGATAAACTATACAGAGTCCTTTTATCTCATTATGATTGAATTGTTATCCGTTATTTCTACCATTAATAAGAGTAATTGAAGTTCCTTTTCCGGTAATTATAATGTATAATATATTTACACTACTCGTAAAATAAAGTTTTATGAAAGTTAATAATAACATATCCTCATTAATGATACAAAGCATTTATTCTTATATTGTAAACTATTAGATTCTTATGATAGCTATCAGAGAAAATGTGTATCTTTACAATATACGTTTAATACATACCAGTGCCGATTTTGCGACTATGTAATTTAAATGGTATTGCACGACTGTGCATACATTTTGACGTGACGTCATTTACATTTTATAATACTGCAAGTTTGTAACGTCGCTTTTCATTGGACAATTGTGACGTTTATATAGTTTTATATACACGGCTGTTGTCGATTAATGAAGAAATCTTACTTTTTTCTCTAAAAAATGATGTTTGCTGTATTATAAATTCGCTATAAAGATTGCCGTATTTAAATGGCTGTTTGCAATATAACCCTCGCCTAGCGGCTCGGGTTATATTTACAAACAGCCGTTTATATAGGGCCATATAACCTGTCAACAATCTTTATAACTTAAAATATAATTCTGGCGTTAAGACGCGCTAAATGTTAGCGTTATTCTATAGGCGCGTCAATGAAAAATGTTTCTTTTTCACTTTAAATGGTCTTTATTTTTGGTATGTGATAAATAGCCAGAGCCAGAGGCTCGCATAATATAATTTTATTCAACTCGTTCAGTAAATTCAGTATTAACTTACACTCATTCAATATCCTCTATATAATTAATGGTATTGAGTGTCATATTTAAGCAGAACATTTCTTATATAAAAAACTAAAGTAGAATCTTATATGATATGAATATGAAAAAGAGATTTAAAAAATAGCCTTTCATGGAGGGGAATTAATAATCGTATAATAATTCATGATCCGCACACACATATGTATACATATATGTGATATAAATTGATTATATATGTTTTTCAGATAAAAATCATTAATATATACCCGCTTAAAAATGCATTGCCGCTTTGATTATCTTTGAATATGTTTATACATTTGTATAACAAATTTATTAAGACGGTTACCATTTCAAATAGAATCAAAGAATCAAATCTTTCAACACTCATTTCAAAACTTACAAATGGAAAATGTCATATGAGGACAGCCAGCTAGTTTGAATTATTATAAATGATCCAATCTTAAGTAATACAAAAACTATGATACAGGTTTTTAAAGATCAAGAAAAAGTAATATTCAAATACATTGGCATATTTTCTGCGGCTTTTAAATTGTAGATCTATGTTATTATTTTTTCACAGCTCCACTGGGTGCAATTGTTATGATTCATTTTGGTTACCGGGCAACAGTTTGTATTGGAGCCGGTATCGTCATGGTAACCGTTATCATACTATCTCATCTTAAAGATGATACCGAAGACGCTGTAAAATTCTTTCTTTATGGACCCGGCGGTGAGTTCAATTCTAATGAACGAAACTGAGTTAAATAGTGAAGATTTTTTCATTTTCAACTGTTATGCATGTACATGATAATCTATACTACGGTAATAGTCGAAATAAAACAATTAACTGACCGATCGGTAATTAACTTTTCGATCCTGTTGATTGATTGATTGATTGATTGATTGATTGATTGATTGTCGTTTTTTTCTAACACGACCCGCATTTTTCCTATTGAACAGAAAGTGTGTGTAATTATGCCGACGTTCTATATTTAGACATGAGACGTTATCATTACATATGTGACGTAACCACTAAAAATGTGACGCGCTGAAAATAAGTAAGGAAAGAAATCAGGCGCAATTTAGCTTAATATCAGGTATGGCAGCATTTATTTGTTAATGTTGTGTAAGTGTCGAAATAATTAATCCAAATCGGTGGTTTTATGGCTTGATAAAATCACTGTTTGTCGTTCGGATGCGCATCCTTATATCACTCGGGCTACGCACTCGTGATATATAATTCCCCGCATCGGAACTCCGAACAATGATTTTATTGAGCAATAAAATCACAGTTTTGGAAATGTTATTTCTTAAATAGTAATCATTTCTATATTTTGGCTTTTCAGCAATAGGGATGAGTTTCATCAAAGTAGGCGCATTGATCCCAGTATTAGAATATTTTTCAACAAAGAGAATGACAGCTTTATTCTTATCAAGACTTGGGACATATGCTGGACAGATTATCTTTTCCCTCATACATATACTAAGTTCATCTGACATTAATTGGAGGGCTTATTTAAGGTATTTTTGTAAAGATGTATGGGTACCCAAACGTCAAAATGCATTTCAATGCATAAATAGCTACACAATTAAGTCAGAATGATTTGATAAACATTGTGCAAGGGTCTTTCAAAATTGAATATTTAAAAGCCCTGCAAATTCATGAAACGAGGGAATACTTCGATGTTAACGCAACATAAACGTAGAAAAACTTGTCTTAAAAAATTCCGGACTGGTACTGAATTGAATTAAAGACAGAAGATATATCTCATGTCTGTTTAATGATGTCTCAATATTCGCTTGTCTATCGATCTCAGAGCTGGCCTTTTAAAAGAGATTCAATTTTGAGCACAGAAATGACCCCGAATTCTGGGTCAGTAAAGATAACCTCGCTTCATTGATCTTGAAACAGTGATCACTGATCTCAAAGCTTACCTTTTTTAGCATTGATATAATAAGGCAAGCTATTGATCAGTCTTTTGTTTATTTATAAACAGGTAAACTACCACACTGGAACAAATTTAGTGCAACAATTATAAACTTCATTTTTGGGGAGTGAAGTTAAATATTTTTCAGTTTATATTTAAATGGTTTGAAACGGGTGAATGTTTGTTTGTTTTTCTGTTGAATCGGACAGCGCATGCGCGTTGAAACCAGCGCTAAGTAGCTAAATAGTTTGTTTCCTTAAAAAATGTATGTGTATACTTATATATAATGAATACACATTTTGATTAAACTCCGTCTGATACGAAGACAACCAATTATATCTGAATGCACTAGTCTTGTGAAAAGTTCAGCTTTAACCTTTATTTTTTAAGGGGCTGCACAGGGTTATGTATCGGAATAGGACTGCTCGGCTTAACGTTACAGGAACTTAAACTCAACATGAAAGATGGAACAGGAACATTTGTTGCAAGGACCCTTGGTGTTGGAAGTAAACAAATTTTTAAGAGCACACTATTTTGGTCAACATGTGCTATATATTTCTTTTATCAATGGGGTAATTCATTTATTTGTCATATTATTTATTTGAACTCAGTAAAATGTTCAACGTAGGCAATAAATGCAAAGCACATTATAAATATTAGTAGTTAATAGTTAGAACTTGATGAAAACACACAATTCTCTTTAATAGATATAACTCTCTATTCGTCGTTGTTAGTTCTAAAGTTAGCATAAGAACGATATACATTTTTGAAGCCTAGAGGGTAACTAAGTTTTCACCGTTAAAGGTAAACTTTATACGATATGCTTTCAGCATTAGTATGAAAAGACTGTTTGGTGTACAAGCTTATTCTTTATTTGTTTGTCTCTGTTATCAATTGTTTGTTGTTGTTTTTTTCTTTTTTTTTTTTCATGGACAAAAATGGTCTCAAATCTGTACTGATCGTTTTCACAAGGTTTCTGTCATTTCGTGTAAGAAAGTAAAGAAAAGTTTTATTATATATTTTTAGGCATTGAAACGCCTCTAGGTCAATTAAGCTCAATGTCTGACCACCTGGGGATTGAGAAAAAGGTAGGACAGAATCTCGTGTACGTATTAAGTCCGGCCTTCGGCAAACTATTTGGAATGTTTTTAGCATGGATATTCAAGAAAGTTTACTATGAGGAAAAGAGCCGGTTTGTACAATTTTAATAGACACATCAAAATTGATTCAGCCAATCCTCCAGAACGAGTAAAGTTTAAAAACCTCATCCATTCATAAAAATCCCAAAAATCATCATAAACATCATCATCATCATCATCATCATCCACATCATTCTCCTCATTCTCAACATCCTCCTCATCCTTATATCATCATCCTCATCTTCGTCATCATCATTTTCATCCTCCTCTTCATCCTCCTCATTCTTAACATCCTCCTCGCCATCCTCATCATCCTCATCTTCGTCATCATCATTTTCATCCTCCTCCACCTCCTCATCCTCCTCCACCTCCTCATCCTCCTCCACCTCCACATCCCCCTCCTCATTCTCATCATCATCCTCATTAGCCTCATCCTCCTCATTATCACCATCCTCATCATCACAATCATTATGATAATCTAGCTTAAGATGAAAATAATCAAGACAAAAAATGTACTAGTATATTAAACTGCCAAATCATCATTGAAGTAACACTTATAGTTATCTCTTTGTTTATATTTACTTTCAGACTGCACATGGGAACATTGGAGAAAGACCGCATGATAGTAGTTTTTCGTATCTTATTTGTGGCAGCATTTAGTATGGCTATTGGGTGCTTTATAGCGCCTAAAGCAGTTAACTTTTGGTATTTCTTCCCATTTAGTATCCTGTTTGCGGCTTTGTTTGGTAAGGGGTAGATTCTTCGATTGTGATCAATTCAACTAAATGACATCATAATTTTTAAATATATATCTTATTTATCACTGATTTAACATAGAATAGTATCAAACTTTGCTCTTTGAGCAATGTTTTACCTATTCCATATGTCTATACATAGACATAAAATTCCGTAAACTTCTCAAGTAATTATGCTAAAACAAACTTGAAGGACTGTCGATCAAAATTTAGGGATCATGCAATCGTTTTGTTTTTTTTATCTCAAGCGTTCTCTGATTTTTTTATTCTGCTGGTATTGTGGCTTTACTTGATGATGGCGATTTACAATCTCGGGTGTTTGCTACAGCGATAATACTGAGTACTCAAAATGATCAAAAGTATGACACGCCCTTAACACTATGACAATAAACTATTCTTAATAGTCAAAAATTCTGTAATGCCTTTTCTCTATCAGCATTTTGCGAAGGTTTACGAGATGATGCTGTACCGGAAGAGTTTGGAAAGGAAAATGTGCGAATTGTTGAAGGACTTATCCTGATGTTTGCTGGTCTTGGTGGTGTTATTACAAATGAAATTGGAGGTAAGGCAACTTATATAGAGATAACATTGGCAGGTAATTTTCTCGAATGAATTAAAACTAACTTCTTGTTGTTTTGAATAATGAAAAATACACTTCTGATTATTTTGGTAAGAATCATGAGATGTCACCAGTGTTCTTTTCATAAACATTTTGTAAAGAGAAATACATAGAAGATTAAATGTTGTTTACAGCAAGTGGTTATGTATATTTTAACTGAAATAATATATTTTGAGTCTTTATTGTATAGATCTTTATTTCGACTTTTTAAGCTGATATTGAAGATGACGATGATGATAACTGGAAGAAACTATTCTATTATGGTGGTGGTATGTTACTTCTGTCAACATCTGTTACAATGACTGTTCTTGTATTAATACAAAGCAGTAGTATACCGTCCAAATTTAAAAGCAACGCCGTTCTCCCATTGAACCAAATTAATGAAGGATTTACTGGTAAAAAAAGTAAAAAGACCACTGTCGTAAACACAACGTTACAACAGCAGCCCGGAGCATCCACAAACAGCAATGGCGGTTTTCAAAATAAAGACACCAGATCTGAAACGGTTGATAACCAAATTGTACTCCCATTGAACCAAATTAATGAAGGATCTACTAGTAAAAAAAGTCGAAAGACCACTGTCGTAAACACAACGTTACAACAGCAGCCGGGAGCATCCACAAACAGCAATGGCGGTTTTCAAAATAAAGACACCAGATCTGAAACGGTTGATAACCAAGTTGGCGGAAATGGATTTCAGGAGCCAAATACAATCATTCAAAATCAGGCAGGTAGTTTCCAGTACCCTCAACAACAACAACAGGCGGCTATGCCAATTCTCTATCTACACAGCAGCATACAGCCTGCACCAGAACAAGCAGTATTTATAGGTAATCCACACATGAATGCCCAACCTTATCTGGAAGCGTCAGTATTTCTGCCAAATCAAAATGGCAGCTTTATACCGTATCTAATTCAAGCCAGACCGCAGCAGACGGTTCAGAATGATGTCCCACAAAATCAACCACAATGCGTTGTTACCACACAAGACCTGCAATAATTTGGTTTGAGGATATTTTTAAAACATTTCAAAAATATGTATGCAAGAATGGCGAATATTCCAACTTGTCACAAACTTATGATAAAGAATTAACTTCCTTATACAGCCAAGATACTAACATTATATACACGTAGCCATTATTCTTTGTTTACTCGACTGCAAAATATAATTTTAAATAAGACGCATGATTTACTGCGGAATGACAGATTTATTTTGCGAGTCGACAATAAAAATACATAAAAATATTCACATACATCAAGCTTACACTTAAGGACCTATTTCAAATTTCTTTTTATTTACATTTTCTTCAAACGGAGGGACAATGTTTTCTTATCTCCGTATACAAATAATGGACTGTACAACTGTCTGTAGTTAATTGAGATTTAATATCGTGGAACCAATATAAAATCATGCGTTAACACGTTTTCTCCACCTAATTGGGAGCTGTTTTGCATAACAATTTGGACGAAACACATTGGTGTAAGAGTTGCATTGTAGTAAAACATGTGAATCTTTCAATCTGTTTACTTTAAGGAACTGAATACGAGTTTGTTTTGAAGAATCTTAAAATATGTATCTTTAAGAGCTTTTTTGTTTTAAATATTTTTAGATGATTTATGTAGTGCTGTGTGGACATATGTCTGGCTTCAAAAGTTTAGATATAGTAAAGCTAGATCACCGGTGTGCTTTTTTTTATATTTTGGTTAGATTTGGTAATGGGTCTGATGCCTTTATGTCTTATATACAACATTCATGCTTTGATATTTAATTGTTAGTAATTTCTTTATATGTACGTTTACGTCATTTCCTTTATGTATCAACTGACGAAGCTAATAAAGCGCAACATGTTTTGATATTTAAATTTGTGTTGGTTTTTGATCTATTTGTCCTAATTTCCTTATTAAAAGTTTATTTATTTTTAATCTGGATATAGTTACCTATATAATATGCTCAAATTTGATATGTATTACAAAGTATGTAAGTTATGTTTAAAATTCTACACACTATAGCTGGTCACAATATGATTACATAGTGTCGCTAAAAAAACTGGAATTTTTCTAGAGAAAAAACTAAACTTTACTTGATCTGTAATAAGGAATGCAGCTTCCCATATCCATATACAGTTTATTCATTCTTTAATTCAAATAAGACATATTCAGTAAGAATTTCAATGAATTCAAAAACATTTCTGTGATTTGTGATTAAAATATTTTACTCAAGGGTGAGCATGCATAATATATCTTAAATTTAGACCCAAGACATTAGGATAAATCATTACAAACGTGTCAGCACTGTCTATATATATATTTCTAACAGAATATACAAAATGAATAGATATGTATATTAGTTTACAAATCTTTATGTAAAACACCACGTAGGTTGTTTTATAAGTTGATTTTACCAATTTTGTGTTATTCCTCAGAGGTCTGGGGCTTTTACAAAGGTATACAGGTAGAAAGAACTTTTTATTCCTCTAGTAATTGGAATTTTGATACCGACTCAAAATGATTTTGTATATAGTGAACTAGGCAGATTTAAATTATGTTCAATAAATTAGATATTGGTTGATATCGTGTATGTCAGAACTGAACTGGCTTACTTGCTATTAAAAGCAGATTGTTAAAATAATAGTAGGAAAGTAAATTGGGTTTCGAAAATACGATCGTTATTGTCTAGGCTAGGTTTCAACAATGTATGGTAAAACCGAGGTGTTCCGCATGTTAAACTATTTCTTAATGTATTTAGCCAGAGAGTTAAAGAACATGGAAACAGGATTTTAAGTGCCCGAATCAGTAATTCTTCAAGAGTCGTTTTTTACAACACTTTCAATAACATGTATTTCGTTATTGTTGGTATTGAAAACGTATAAAATAGCTATGTCACGTTTTAGAATGGCATCTCATTGCCTAAAAATAGTGGTTGTAATGGAGAAAACTCCATGGATAAACTGTGTAGCATGTAATCGATAAGAGAACGAGTTCTATTATGTTATAATATTTCCTATTTATAATGAACTCCGAACAAGATTTAGGAAGAAATATTACTGGAGGTCATGCAAGCATGTTTAAATTTGTTCATTTGATTACAAGTGAAATTGTACAGGACATTAAAAATTTAGTCATGTTTATATACCACGCATTTCATTTAGACAACAGTTACAAATAGTTCTCGTGTTAATTAACATAAATGTTTTATCTAAAATTATATTTATAAGTTTTATACGCATAACTAGCCCCATGAAAACATGCGTGTATAGAAGTTGTATTCCTATAAATGTGTATTATACGTACATTAATAGTCGTGTAATTGTACATAGATGAATAATTGATACATTGTATTTCTTTGTGTCTTATACGTATAACTGTTTAAGCAACACGATGATTATAATCAAGAGCCACCACTGGGAGGCAACTTTTTACTTTTTTCTAAGAGTAAATAAACAAGTTAATTGTTAATACTGCACATCAAAGACGCCGTCAGATGATGTGAACAGTCACAGATAATACAAAATCAGACTTGACAATTGTTCTATACATGTATTACCGTTGAATATCCGAAGCACTAATAAATTGTTATTCATGTTCTTTGTATGTGCTCGTTGTAAAATGATTGAGTTGCATATTTTGGAGGAAAGTTAGAACCTAATGCAAAACAAAAATTCACAAAGTAATGCCATGTATGACAAAGATTGAAAGGTTTGGTAGAAGCAAAATAAATTGGATAACAAGTAAAAATGAAATGATTGGTATTCTTAAAATAAATTCAAAACAAAGACGGAGGTAAAAAAAATAGATCTTCTTTGCGCCGAGAAAATGTCCTTTTTAATATAGGTGCGAAATGCATAATGTTCTTATAGTTTCTATATGAACTACGTAAATAACCGAGGTATATCGAGTGAAAATAAACAAATTGTTTCCCTAATCTTCTAGTAAAATCAATATCTCTTATGCTAAACAATGCAAATTTAGCAGTTGTTTTGTCCGATTTTACAAATTATTACAAAAATGAAAAGCTTGTGATCTTAGCTTCGTCTCAGTATATATTTCACGACTTGTTTTACACTGAGTGTATAAGTTAAACCACACACATTACAATAAATATTAAACATTTTAATGACCAACTGACAAATTTACAAACTAAAAGACAAGGAAAAGTAACATAGTAAGCATCTAATCTCAGTGTGATAAAGAAATATTATTTGGAAAATGAAGGAAATGAACATGAAATTTCTTTACCTCGCCATGCTAAATATTTTGACCAGTAGATGTATATTGCGGCAATTTTGGAATTCTCAAGTAGATTCTTGATAAAATCTTAGCGAAAAATTACCCATAATTTAAATTAGATTCTGTTTATTTTGTACCAATAGTTTCATCCATCTTTATACACAGGACGTCAATGTTGATTACCAAAGCCAGTACTGTAACATGACGTCGCCGCGTATTCTTGGCAACTGTTATGATATTACAACTCTAATGGCTTCAAAATATTCTTAAATTCTTTAGTATTCGACGGAATTATTTTTACGCTATGCTGATATCGTTTTAAGCCGACAAATATTCAAATGATGGAAAGAAATTGTCATTTTTTTGTGAAATGTTGTACGTCCAGTTTAACTAAATTTTTTTTGGGCTTTAAAGCAGTTTACTAAAAATATCCTGAAATTTTTTCTAAGCTTTTTAAAAATCTGTCAAAGTCTATGTGTAATGACAGTATGATATAATATGTTAAAATCATATCTCAAAACCTGATAAAATGTGTTATGTAAACAAACAATGCAACATGTATGCATACACATGCGGATTTTGCTTTATGTCTATACGAAATAAGAGAAATTATAAACAAAATGGCGTGTATACGTCCCCACACACATGAAGACATCAATGTCTTGTTGGAATTTACACGATCAGAAGGTTGGGGATTTTCTGAAATCGACTGTAGGGCAGCTATGATGGTCGACCCTGAGGGATTGCTTGTTGCTGAAGATGATACCGGAAAACCTGTTGGCAAGTAGATATTAAATCAAATAACAACCATGTGTATTTTACATTCTATGCAGAGCACTGATATCAATATTTCTGGATAGTGATGTATGTCGAATAGTACTTAAGATCTAAATACTGCAGTATTAAACTTTTTGACAAGAGAATTCATCCTAAATTATCTTGTGATAATACATAATAAAATGGCTTAACATACAAATATTTACTATTTCTGACTGGATATCATACAGGTCATCAATGATACCGTGGTAAAAAAGGAGAATGTAGCACCGGTTATAGATATGTCAGATTTACCTAGATTTCATTGTCATAAATAATTTAAATAGTTTGAAGTAAAGGTTCACAAGTTAACACCAGTAAAACAGATTTAAGGAATTAAGTCTATTGTATTTTTTATTATAATAATGTATCGATTATTCAAGTACCGTTCTACACACGATGGCATCGATCCTAAACGGTTATGAAGACTGTGTTGAATATATATACATTGTATCGACAAGCCCGTCGGCAAACATATATATGGCCGCTGTTGTAAATACTACAATTTACTCTGGAGAATGAAGGAAAACACATATCTTGACCACATAAATTACTGATAAGCTCAAGTATCAGATAACATTACAAGTCTATTTTCAGGTTGTCATTATCCATTAATAATTTTCACTGTGTTGATTAATAATTTGTTAATGGCTCACTAGTCAATTATTGTTTAATTTTATGAAAGGATAAGAATTTTAAAAAATCACAAAAAAGTAAAACATTATACATGTGAAATATTTGCCTGATTCGTTGAAGCGCGGGAAAAAAGATTAACATGTCAGGCACTGCGCATACAAAAGTAATTCAAGTTTATACTCATCATTGCAATGTAGCTTTCAATAATAATAGAAACGTATTGATATTATAATATATATAATCGAGTAAAATGCCATTAAGAACAAAACGCAACAATTATTTTTAATGCGCACGCGTAATAAACAGTCTACGATATATGGTTATTGAATATGAGTTTCAATTTACTTTTAGACTGGGAAAATCCAATGCAGTCAGTGAATATGATACTACACCCAGTGAATATGATTTTATGACTACTGTTTGGAACAATGAAATTGCAGCTATATTTAGATCATATAAGAAATAACATAATTTGTCAGTAACCACCATATATTTGTTGACTGATAAGAAATTTGTAGCAAGATTAAATGTTCATATACCCCGGGCTGTGGGAATGTTTAACTCCTACAAGTCACGTGACTCCCTTTGTCGTTACAGTGTATATTTATAACAAACATATTTAGATGACTTAACGATAATAATTCTTATTTTAAGGTTTCATTGGTTGTTTCAACATGGCGCTCGACATAGTGTACGTGGATTTGTTCATTGTCCGAGAAGATATGAGAGGTAAAGGAATCGGGAGGAAATTGTGGAATTCGATGTTAGAAACTGCGGGTAATAAAATTTTAGTTCTCGATAGTACTTGAAGGAATGGTATAAAAAGCAGGGATTAGTCTACGAGGAATTTACTGTAAAAGGTTACAAAGGAAAGATACCCATTGTTGAAGCTGAAATTTCTGTAGCTGTAGACTCCTCATACATCTGCGAACCTTTGGCAAATGAACACCTGCCGGCGTTACTTGTATATGATCAGAAAATATATCCTTATTCGCGGGAGAAGGTGTTTCGAGCATGGTATTTTGGATCCGATAAATACAGTTTTGTAGCGCTGTATGATAACAATATAGTCGGGTATGTAAGTTGTCATATGAAATCTGAGAATGAATGTTTCATACGAGCATTATACGCAGATAATGACATTATAGCAGATAAATTGCTGGTAAAGCTTTTGTCTAATATTCCCAAAGGTACCATGATTAGATTTAAAATCTTGGATGACAAACCACTACCGAAATATTTTGCAGACTTTGCGAATACGGGAACCGAAGTAAGACTTCTTACGAAGAAAGTTCCAAGTATTCAAACCGACAAAATAATAATAAAAGCAGTTCACACAATTTGATGATAATATAGATTACTTTTTCGTTTTCTTTGTTTATATGAAATACTTAGTATTATTGTAATGATTTAAATATAGTATAACCTTCAAATTATTGTTATCAGCTACACGCTAGATTGATGTGAACAAATATGATTCAAATGTTATCATCTCTTTTAAGGGTAAATGTGTACGAGTTTGAATTTGAACGTGTGCACAAACAGATAAAACATCAAAGCTTTTTAACGTATCTTATGCAATGTCAATTGGAAATTCAGTAAGACTAATATCACATCAACTGTATACGACTCTTTATTACTTTTAACATATTTATTCCAGAATATATACATATATGCATAAACAATTCAAATCAAACATTTTATGTCCAAGAAAATGATAAGGACGGAAGATTAAGCTTATAAAATTCTTCTTCTTGAATTTCTGTGTCGAGTTTTGTACTATATCAAAAAGTATGACAAATCGGAATAAAAATATTTTGGAAAGAAATAAAGATGCGAAAATGTGTAAGAAGTAACAGACTATACAGCTATAAAATGGCTGAAAGAATTGATAAAATGTGATGTTGTAGCTAACAAAAACAAGTAAGTTAAGTAACACATTGGTCTAGTTAAGAGGAGAGAAAGAGTGTCTCACAATTACATCAGAAAAAATCGTTTTATTTCGGATATGTAAATATGAACATGCTTGAAAATAGAGGCATCAAGAGTATAAGAGTACTGTTGAAATTGTTAAGACATTGAAATAGCTTTTGTCGAAATGTGTTTAAATATGGGCATTCAAAAAAATGGTGGAAATTAATTTTATTTGCCCGCATTCACATAAATGATGAAAAACGGTGAATTCTTATTCTATAAATAAGAAATAAAATGGCTTGATTTTTCTGTCAGTGAATGAACTTATGTCAGAGATATTATGGTCCTTTGACATAATTATAATTGTCATTAGATATTCCTTTTTAACATTCATACGTCTAAGGTTCTGCATAATACCCCGTCCCAGACCTAGAATTCATTGATTGCAATGGATAAGAATCATCTGAATACATTTAACGTTATCCAATTGACTATCTGTATGATACCACCCACGAGAATTATCATTTATGTTAACTTCCATAAACAGATTACTTGCCTAATTCATTCATTGTGTCGCTACGGTTGACATGTGCCACATCGCTATAAAACCCGCTTGTTTCATTTGTCTATCAAATTATGTTATTTCGCATGTGGAGAGATAAACTTATTTATCTACCGAATCTCTATACAGTTGAGGCACTCACTTATTTATGAACGCGCCTAACATGATCGTTAATCTGTCTGTCAGCTCTAGTTGTTCTATAAAAAGGATTGCATAAACTATTCGAATGACAGTGTCAGTTCAGTACTATTGTTAGATAATTTAATTGGAGAGACGATAAGCACATTTTTGTTTGAAAAAAGGAAACAAAACGTCGCGGTTAACATAAATCTGGACAATTGCTTACAATAAAATCATATAACAGTAAAGTGAAAATGGGTACATCAAGAAGCAATGCATTATTTCTTGCTGTAACATGTATACAATATTATTTGCCGATAACGTGTTTGAATTTAAAGGAAGTAAACTTACATAAGGAATTGTTCGATAAATATAATCAAAATGTTATGCCTCAAGAAAACAAATCAGCACCAATCGAAGTCACTCTGGATATGGTTTTGATGTCTATTGATGAAGTTGATGAAAAAAGGCAAACTATTTCGATCAAGGCCTTCCTCGAAATTCAGTGGCATGACGCATTTCTGTCATGGAATTCTTCCAAATATCCTGAAATATCTAGAATCAATGTAAAGAATTCCGATATATGGATACCAGATGTAGTGTTGCGGGATACATATGATAAATTAACAGATTTAGGACAAATTGACGGTAAGGCGAACGTCGAAAGCAGTGGTTTAGTAACAATCTGGCCTTACAGTATTTATACTGTTACATGTAAAGTTTTTATTGGTAAATTTCCTTTTGATAAACAATCGTGTCAGTTTGATTTTCAATCATGGAGTCATTCGAGGTCAGATCTTGTTTTGAAAAGTAAACAGAAAAAGCCTGGTTTGAAGGTTTACAAAGAAAGTGGAGAGTGGGATCTTGTTAGTACAAAAGTGGAGCTAGAGAGCCGCCCATACGGTAACGATTCCTGGGACCATGTATTATTTCACTTCGAGCTCAAACGGAAATCTTTATATCACGTTATGAACGTATTTGTACCAGTTCTTTGTATCTCGGTTTTAAGTATTGTTTCATTTCTTTTACCCTCAGAAAGTGGCGAGAGGGTTACTTTTTCAATTTCAATATTTCTAACACTAGCTGTTTTCTTGACAACTGTTAACAGTTCGATGCCAGAGTCGTCGGATGAAGTCGCTTCCTTCAGCGTTTATGTTGGACTTCAGCTGTTTGGAAGCGCTCTAACAATTATGCTGACTATTATATCGTTGAATCTTTTTCATCGTGATGAAAGTCGTTCTATACCAAAATTATTCAAAATGTTGGTAAATATTTGCGGCGTTCAAAACCCAAATGATGAGTACCACATAACCATGGATGTGCAAAACGAAAATACTATAAACTGTCAAAATGAAGCATCTGCTAATGAGCATATCAAACTTGGTAAAGAAAATGACAATGTGACATGGAGAATGGTTTCAAGCGCTTTAGACAAGCTTTGTCTATTTTCTGCTATCTTTTGGCATATTATCCTTACGGCAAGTTTAATGATAAGCGTTACGAATTAAGAATTATGAATGATCAACTGTGTTGTTTGAACACTTATGTACAGGGTTTTCATTATCAATGTTAACAATAAACAGTGTAAATATAGTTTATTTGTAAGGGATATTTACTGGGTACTAAGTTATTTCCTAAATCACATTATAATTCATATTAATTATATAAGTATGTAAAGCGTGAAAAAGTATTTTGTGAGTTTGTTGACAAATATTATACAATAATTGACTTGTGAGCCATTCAATATGATATGATATTCACCGGCAGATGATATATTGACCGAGATGATAATTTTTAAGCGGTAATTCTTTTTATTATATGAATAGGCAAAGATTCAAAGAACGCATAAAGTAAATCATTATAAGGAAAAACAAAACACAACATTTGCCTGTTTTCATTGAAGCGCGGGGAAAAAAGACGCACAGTGAACAAGATGACGTCTGGCGTTCAACTACTACGCGATTACTGCGCAAACAAAAGTTATTCCAGTTAATACACATCATTGCGGTGCAACTTTTAACTTTTGTAGTAAAGTAAATGTTATTTTAATCTAGAAAAATGACAATTGTTTTTATCCACACGCGTAATTAACAGTCTACGATGTATGGGCATTAAACAGCATATGTTCTAGTTTGGGGAAATGTCAATTCAGCCAGTGAATATGATAATTCAGCCAGTGAATGTGATAATTCAGCCAGTGAATATGTTTTATAATAGTTATTTTGTTGATTAATGGACCAATGCGAGTGCAATTGTATTTAGATCATAACATAAATACAGATAATTTACATAACGATTGTAAATAGTTTTATCATAACATGAACAGACTGTGTTCTTATTAATAAAATATTGCTAATGTATAATTTGAATTGTTTTAGATATACATGTATCTGCTGAGTTATTGCACGAATTGTTAAAACTTATAATTCCTAAATATTTGTATCAAGAAGTATGGTTGTATGTTTAAAGCTAGTTGTGCATGTACGTAATTATTATAAGTATGTCTGAAACCTACTTAAATACCACTTAAATATCTTGTTTTGGAACATTTTATTCTGTTAACATACAATATACATGTGTGTAAATAGCAGAGAATATCTATGTAACAAATCTTTTCACAATCAACCAACCCCATGTTAAGAAATGATCCCCGCTGAAAACTGATCTTCTATGGACAGATGAAAACTAATACATTGTTACTATAATTTTGCGCAAAACGCCTATGGGCATACAGATGATTTTTAAATATTTCTATTGTCATTTTAGTGCAACAAGTTCCTATTATACTTCATTTTTTTGTAATACAGTATAAGCTGTTATATGCTGCTAATATAAAATGAGCCGCGTCACGACAAAACCAACATAGTGCGTTTGCGACCAGCATAGATCCAGACCAGCCTGAGCATTCGCGCAGTCTGATCAGGATCCATGCTGTTCGCTTACCAACTCTAATACAAGTAGAGAAACTGATAGCAAACAGCATGGATCCTTATCAGACTGCATTGTATGCTTTTTAATACTATATTGCCATCCGATGAAGCAAAAATAAAAGTATTTAACAGTCTTCTTCTGTTATCACTGATGTATATGACATCTTGGGTGCACCTTCAACATCCATCAAGCTCCCCGAGCACCGGCTTAACAGTACCTAATCTTGCAAAATGTTGTACATTTTCACTATCCCTCATGTACAGACTCAATCAAAGCGAGTCTGCAATTTTCATGTTGTTTTATTGTAATTAATGTTTCCGAAAGATCACCCTTCTTCCAGATTTTTTTTCAACAATAAAAAGTGCTGGAATCAATCAGGGATAATAAAAAACAACAACATCCATCATGCCCCCAACCACCGGCTAGGGCGGTTTCTTAATTTTCAACACTTAAAAGTGATCCCGAAGGACCAAAAAAAAACAGCACTGAAGTGAATTATGGGGCATTTTTTTACAGTTGCCACATGTCACTTGATACCTGCTGTTGTCAAGTATAAAATCTGCATAAAATGTGATCCCTCGGAAGCTAAAATTGTGGATACGACGCAGTTCATGTTTCTGTATCCATCTTTTTTTTCCAAATAAATTTTATATGCGTTTCAATTTTTACCATGAGCTTCAAAATATAATTTTGTATCAATTACTAAATTTTCATTTAAGTTATCCAAATAATATAGTTCTGAATATATTCTGTTGTTTTCATCAATATTTGAAATATTAATGAAAAATGTGCCAATTGTAGATGGCTATGCACATATTTTATTAAATATCATTGACTGGTACGTCTTGCTTATAGACCCTTATACATTTTAGTACATATTCCTTGCTTTACATAAAGTGACTTTCTTTAGAAACTAGTAACTTTCATAGCAACTATTGACTTTCTTAAGCAACCAACGAGTTTCATAGCAACATTCTTTTTTCAATTACATGTTCACCTTAAAACAATCCTTATCTCAAGTTTCCTCTAAGAAAAATATTTCATCTATGTAACAGGGTATTCAACAATTGAAATATTCCGAAGTTTCCATCAAACAAATACAGAACAAAATATTTATTTCATTTTGGACTACAGCTTAACTCCTCGTTCATCAAATAACATGATCACAAAAGATAAAACCAAGTCGCCTAACGGCTCGGGTTATATTTACAAATAGCCGTTTATATAGGGCCATATAACCTGTCAACGATCTTTATAAATTATAATATAAAGGTTGTTTGTAAATATAACCCAACCCGCTAGGCGAGGGTTATATCGCAAACAACTGTGTATATACGGCCATGTAACTTGTCAGAAATATTTATATGAATTTATAATATTGTCAATTTCCTTTTTTCGAGAAAAAAATGTGAGATTTCGTCATGAATTGACGGCAGCCGCGTATATAAAACCATATAAATATCACGATTATCCAATGAAAAGCGACGTCACAAAAGTGCAGCTCGCGTTATATTTCTAAACAACCGTTTATGAAGGGCCATACAACCTGTCAAAATCTTAATAACCAATAATATACACGGCTGCTGTCAATGTATGAAGAAATTTCATTTTTTTTCTCTTAAGACAAGAAATGCTTGCTGTATTATAAATTCGTTATAAAAAATTGACATGTTATATGGGGTATTAACTATTGTTTGCAATATTTATTTCAAAACAACTATTTATTTAGGGCCATATTACCTGTCAAAAATCTTTATAACTAATAATGCAAACCAAAAATACTTTGTTGTATGAAAAAGGTTGTTAGAGGCAAAACACTTTGGTAAAAATCGGAAAAAAAATTCTTAGTCTATTTTATACCTTAATGCCCATGACTCCGAAATATTTCCACACAATTTATTTTGGATAAATGAAACCGCATTAAAACAAAAAGGGCTCGAAAATGATACATGTTTATTATTCAAATATTGAAAGAAATATAAAAAATAAACAAATAATTTTTGTCGTTGATGCGGCCAGTAGCAGGAACTCAAAAATTACCATAAAGAAATGTCACGTGCTCGCCAAGCCTGACATTAGCTTTAAGCAGAAACACTTAATATAAAATAGTAATATAGGAATGCTATGGATCACCAATAATACAAAAATTGATTGAAATGCCAAACAGTGCGAATAAAAGTAGAATAACAATTTTTATGATTATATCTTGTATCTCTGTAAATTTATATACGAGAAGGCGTTTTGAAGTCCCTGTGTACTCGGTACAAGCACAGACAGCCATACTTAATATTTGTGTTGAGGTTCAATAAATGATGATCTATAACTGGAATCATATTCCCTTTGGATAGTTTCTTTTCATTATATATTCAGTCCATTATAAATGTATTGGGTCTTTAACTGCGTCCGTCCCATAACGGGAAATAATTGATAGTAATGTAATAAAGTATGAATTCGGAATGCATTTAGCCTTATCCAGTGAACAATCTGATACCACCCGCGAGAGATGTCTTCTATTCTCTTATTCTAATAGAAAAATAATTTACTTTATGAATTCATCGCGCTCTTGTGAATTTCAAATGCAACAGTGGTACATAGCGGAATCAACGAGGTTTTGATGTTTATAATATCTAATACAGAGAGAAATGTAGATAAGGAACCGTTTTCAATTATTTATGCATGACTAAACAATTATGTTTCTAATGTTATCAAACAGCTTTGCAGTTATATACAAATACTCATAAACAGACATTGCACATTCCGTCAGAATCTCGGTGCTCAGGCACAAACTAAATTTAAGTCTGAAGAAATTGTTTTAATTCCGGCGAAAGTCTGTTTAAAACCACTGCTTAACAAACAAACAAAAACAGATAAAACTAATTCGTGGATAAAAAAATAAATATTTCCAACAAGTTATGGGTAAAAGATCTGCGGTATATTTTCTTCTAACAGTTTTCCACTACTGTGTGCAGATCAAGTGCTTGAATTTGCAGGAATTAAACTTACATAAGGAATTATTTAAAAACTATAATTCAAATGTTATGCCTCAAGATAACAAAACAGAACCAATTGAAGTCACTTTGGATTTAATTTTGATGGCAATTGATGAAGTTGATGAAAAAAGGCAAACAATTTCGATAAAGGCATTTCTCGAAATACAGTGGCAGGACGCATTTCTGTCTTGGAATTCTTCCAAATATCCTGAAATTTCTAGAATCAGTGTAAAGAATTCAGATATATGGATCCCGGACGTCGCATTACAGGACACATTTGATAAATTGACGGATTTAGGACAAGTGGATGGGAAGGCAAACGTCGAAAATAATGGTTTAGTAACAATATGGCCGTACAATATATACACTGTCAGCTGTAAAGTTTCAATCGGAAAATTTCCTTTTGATAGACAATCGTGTCAATTTGATTTCCAATCATGGAGCCATTCGAGATCAGATCTTGTTTTGAAAAGTAAACAAAAAAAGCCTGGCTTGAAGGTTTACAAAGAAAGTGGAGAGTGGGACCTTGTTAGTACAAAAGTGGAGCTACAGAGCCGCCCATATGGTAACGATTCCTGGGACCATGTTTTATTTCATTTCGAGCTCAAACGGAAATCTTTATATCACGTTTTGAACGTATTTGTACCAGTTCTTTGTATCTCGGTTTTAAGTATCATTTCATTTCTTTTACCTTCTGAAAGTGGCGAGAGGGTAACTTTTTCAATTTCAATATTTCTAACACTAGCTGTTTTCTTGACAACTGTTAACAGTTCGATGCCAGAGTCGTCTGATGAAGTCGCTTCCTTCAGCGTTTATGTTGGACTTCAGTTGTTTGGGAGTGCTCTAACAATTATATTCACAATAATTTCACTAAATTTCTATCATCACGATAAATGTGTTCACGTACCACAACTACTGAAGATGTTAGTCAAAGCCTGCTGCGTTCAAAAGAAAGAGGACTTTCCAGTGAGGCAAGACATCGAAAATGAAAACGCCTTGAAATGCATAAATGATACTGCTGCTCAAGATACTAGTATGCTTGGAAGAGAAATTGGAGACGTGACATGGGAAATGGCGTCAAAGGCAATAGATAAAGTTTGTCTTTATTCTGCAATTTGTTGGCACGTTATCCTGACGGCAAGTTTACTGATAAGCGTTGTGAGTTAAACATTGATGTGATATTATACGCTTTAATAACATAAATTTACATGATATTTAAGTGCTATCCATTTATTAAAAAGTATGGAATTAAAGGTAACTTATTGTTTGATTTTATCAATCTGTCAATTGCATACTGGTTACATGGTCAATGCACACGGTATATTAATATTCGATAAATTTTCGGTAAATTTCGTGAGATGTACGCAGAAATATGTGATTGAATTTAACTTGTTTCTATAAAATAGTTAAACAGACCGTTATAGAGAAATAGGGTTAACTGCAGGTTTATAATTTCTAAAAGCCATATGTGTTTTAAGATCGAGACCGCGTATGTCCATGTTTTCTTTTCTTATTTATAACTATTTTCAACATAAGTGTAGCTATAATTGTTTTTATGTTGTTCTATTTGTTTTTAATATGTTTTGCACAAATTTCGGTAAAGACTATACACTTTTTAAAAAACATGGTTTAAGAATCAACATTTAGAATACATTCGGATAAAATCAATTAATGTCATTTCAGTGCCGTAAAAGGCGATACAAAACGAGACAAATCAGTTTCTAAGTTGCTTCATATCTGTGCAGACAATTTGCAAGCACTTTTCATTAAAACATACTTCAAAAATAAAGAAATAATTGTCTAAAAACAATGGCAAAAGTAAGGATCTAGCCACAGACCTCTCATATACTAGGTAATCACTTTACCAAATATGCTATTGCGGATGTGATGAGAACCTATATATTTAGCTAGTGTGACTCTTCCAAACATACTCCATTTTAATAATTCTCGTAAACTATACGGACAGAACCGAAGTGGGATCGTGCTGTAATGTATTTATAATTGACAGGACAATAAAATCAGGCATATACATTGGTTATTGGAGAAGAAACTGCAATTTCTGTTGCAGGTGTCTACAATATATCTAATTTTTATAAGGGTTCTGTCAAAGGATTGTTTTCTTATTTATTATGCCTAGATTTTTGGAATAATACCATTATTATCAATTAGTGGTTAGACTTGATATTTACAACGTTATACTTGTGTAATTCAAACAAAGGAAATCGTTAGGCAACAAATTGGTCTTTGAGAACGTCTTTAATATTAACTAACTATAAAAGAACTACGTTATAAATGCGATTAATTTTACATGTATCACTTTCCTTTAACATTACATGTAGTTTAATAAAAAAAGACATTAAATAAATATCAACACCAACGACAGAATTGATGCAGTCTAGTGATTTTTCATGAGTTTTTTATGATAAATAATTGTATGACATATTGCATTAATTGTATTTGTTTGGCAACACACATGTATGCCACAAATCTGACATTTGTTGTGTATTTATACAGCTTCTACGCAACTTGTCCTAGAAAATGGAAGTTCTATTAAATATGTAAATAGCCTGTTTTAAAAAAGGTAAAATGCAGAAATATTGCACACAAGACGACCATGATGACCGTGAATAGCTTCCTAGAATAACAACAAGTAGCAATTGTATTACAAGTTGTTCATTTGATTTGTTCTTGTTGTTTTTTTTTCATAAGTATTTGGACACGAGTCTGTCACATATAAGGCGATAGCCGTGTTTGACCAAATATTCTATATTATGCTATTAGAACAACTATGTAAGGTACTAGTAATTTCTGAAAGACATCTACCGTCTTTGTATTGAACCGTAGTAGGAACGCTCAAAAGAATTGCTTTAATTTTAATTGTGAGAAGAGGTCCTCGTTCTATGATGTTATATTTGTTTATCAAACACTCATTTAGTTTGTAACTTTAGTTGTATTCCGTGTATTCATCAAAGTCTAGACTATTATAAATATTGTTTAGGATAAAAGAAATAAAAAAAGAGAAAATACAAAAAGGGCCAGGCTATAACGCTTTTTAGGTATTTAAATCTTTTAAAAGATGAATGTGTAGAACCAGGTTATTTTTGTTGGTACCTCATGCGTTGAATGTTTCTACGAAAAGTGAAACATCGTGTTTTAACAGTGTAGTGTCCCTGATTTAACCTTCAAGTCAACACACTTTAAGTCGATACTATTTTAATCAGCCTGTAATGAGCATGTAATTGTATTTTTTTTATAAAAAAAAAAATAATTAAGTGCAAAATCTGTTGACCCAAGAGGGTTATTTGAAATTGGCATATCAATGTTTAAATGTGTCTACTTAACGGAAATTGTTGAGATCTTTTTATAGTTTCACATTGTACGACGAGATAACTTGGTTAACTTTATTTTTCCTGCCAGGGTTACATGAACCTATCATAATTGAATGTTGTCATATGACAATTTCATAGAAATAAATAAACCATTTTGTACGAACATTGCGCAGACAAATTACTATATGTAATGATGGTTTTACAGTAGCAGAAAAAATAATTTACTGAGGTGATGTAAGATTTTATGGTGACACTTCGCTAGATTATAAATATGATGACATTTTTGGTAAGGTAAGATTATAAGTATGGTGCCATTATTTTACTCTGGTGAGGTGAGGTTATATGTATGTGTCATTACTCTGGTCAGGTGAGGTTAATGTATGGTGACATTACTCTGGTGAGGTGAGGTTATATGTATGGTGACATTAATCTTGTGAGGTGAGGATATATGTATGGTGGCATTACTCTTGTCAGGTGAGGTTGTATGTATGGTGACATTACTCTGGTAAGGTGAGGTTATATGTATGGTGACATTACTCTTGTCAGGTGAGGTTGTATGTATGGTGAAATTACTCTGGTGAGGTGAGGTTATATGTATGGTGAAATTACTCTGGTGAGGTGAGGTTATATGTATGGTGACATTACTCTGGTGATGTGAGGATATATGTATGTGACATTACTCTGGTGAGGTGAGGTTATATGTATGGTGACATTTCTCTGGTGACGCTAGGTTAAGATATGGTGAGATTATTTTAATTAGGCATCACTATATCACAATTGTTATGGCGCATTTACTTTTCAAATAATGTTACAAGAGATTATAATTATGGTGTCATTTTACTCAGGTGACATTAGATTATGAATATTGCAATATCTGTTATAACCTTTACCTACTCGGCCAGTATCATGATTTAACAGAATTCGATTTAATTTAAGGTGCCCTCACACATAAACCACGACCTTACTGCGACCTGAAAACTAGTAAAATAGCATTTTTCTTTCGAAAATCGATGGTTTTCTTTCAAATTTCTCTCGCAGACGGTCCGGGGCTCTGCAGTCTTGTGTTCAGTACGTTTTCTCTATGTCCTCAATACGACCCTTCTACGTCCATGGCGTTTCCACTGCGACTGAATTGCGTCCCCATGGCGACCCCACGGCGATCATCGGCGACCCAGCTGCGACTGTGCTATGTTCTCTGCGTCCTTACGGCGACTGTACGAAGACTATTGCGTTTGTCCAGCGACTGTCCTGCGACTGTACGACGACCCTACTACGTTCTTGCTACGTCTATAAAAACAATACTTTTTACCAGTAAATTTCATTCTGAGTCTGACCTTCAACGAGTGAAGACGTATATTTAATTAGTATTAAGTTAAATCATCCATATTATTCCAAAGATGAGAGGCGGACGAGGCAAAAGAGCGAGGGTCTATAAAGTGCTACAAGTTGACCCGGTCGCCGCTTCAGAAGGTTTCCGAGCAATTTCTTGTAATTTCATCGGTGACTCTACGGCGTCCTTAGAACGAGTGTACTACGTCTATTGCTTTCTTATTGCGTCCTTACTACGATGCTGCTGCGACTATGGCGACTCCATTGCGATCCCACGGCGACCTAACCAGGACTCAGCAAGAACGCAGAGTTTCTGCGACTGTTTTGTGCATGTTCAAAATAGTCGCCGACGGTCTGCGACCTTGTGCGTCATTGGGTTCCTGGCTACGATCCGCTGCGTCCCTGCTGCGTCCATGGCGACTGTGCTGCGTCCTGGGTCGTAGCAAGGTCGCAGTAAGGACGCAGTAAGGTCGCGAGGTATGTGTGAGGGCAGTATTAGTAAAGTAAATTTACATATACACTCAAAACCATGCTACATGTAGACATGTTTCAGGTAATCAGTAAAAAGTATTATGAAATTCATTTTATTACCAATGCCCCTTTTATTTTGATGCATGTTATATACATGCTTCTGTATTGGGAATCAAACAGTACCAATCAATAGACAATAGACAATATTATTATCTCGGTGTTCACCGTTTCGTCCCAAAACTTGCACTCACTGAGGTGGCTACCAAGTAACTATCGCCGTTGGATAATTGGAATAGGCTTATTAAAGGATTACTTAACGCGTCTTCAACATGGACTTTGATAAATGCATAATAAATGGCGCAGTGACGTTAAAACAGTTATGACAAAATTGAACTTGGTCAGTCATTTTGAGAACAAAACCGTTATAAGCAAAGATTATGTTAGGACCAAGATAACTCAATATTATACGGATATTTGGAAAACTGACATACAAAAAGTACCGTAATTACGAACCTATGTTACCCTTAAGGACAATTTTATAACAGAAAAATATGTACAGTTAAATTTGAATAAAAATAAAAGATCAATGTTATCTCAATTTAGGTGTGGCATTCTCCCGTTAAGGATTGAAACTGGACATTATATCAGTGAAACACCAGAGCAGAGAATTTGTTTATTTTGTACCGATAATAAAATAGAAGATGAAAAGCACTCTTTAATCCAATGTCCCTTTTACAACAACATCAGAGTAGACATTTGTAGTAAAAGATTTATGAATACAGATTTTATGAACATGAACGATGATATCAAAATGAAATATCTTGTTGTAAGATTTCCACGAAAAGTAGTTAAATACCTTGTTAATGATTATCTAAAAAGGAAGAAATCTTTGTTTAATCGTTAAAATATTTTAGTTTATAACAAAAGACTAAAGTTTTTATATTCCCGAACAGCTTAAGATATAAATTCTATTGTAAATTTAATGCAATAAAGATATGTACATTGTTTTGTATATGCACCTTGTTATGTGACATACACGACTATTTATCCTGCAAAATTGATGATGTGTACAGTACAATAATTTCATTTGAACTATTTATGATGTATATATATTTCAGTTGGCCGGGTGTTATGTTAAATTATTTAATTTCGTTATTTGTAAAATGTCATACACATGTCACTATAATTAAATTATATTTACTTACTAACTTACATGAATTTTACGAAAGACAATGTCTGTCTTCGATTTATAGTAACTATGTCAGAACGGTAGATAAACATTAAAAATTACGGTGGCTGAACTGTGCTCTGGTATATACAGTAGTATAGATTGATATTTGCAGTCAAACACGGCTATCGCCACGACTTATTATTTCAAGATATTAGCTCGTAGCCGCAAGTTATTATATTGTTGCCGCAAGATATTATCTCGTCGCCACGACTTATTATCTTGTCACCACGACTTATAATCGTATGACTCAAGATATTATCTCGTCGCCACAACTTATTATCTTGTGGACTCAAAATATTATGTCGTGGCCACGACTTATAATCTTGTGGACTCAAGATATTATCTCGTTGCAACGATTTATTATCTTGTGGCCACGACTTATTATCTCGTTGCCTCCAGATACTATCTCGTGCCCACGACTTATTACTTTGT